CTTCCCTACCCAGACAGTGAAAAACTGATTCTCAGTTCAAAAGCTTCTCAGGTATACCTAGGCGCTATGGACAAACACTGACTCCAAGCTGCTATTTATAATTAAAAAAAAAAATAAAATAAAGCTATTCAAGTTATTCAAGACTTAGTATAATAAAAATCTAACATCTTCAGTATAATTGAAAATGGGAAAGAATCATGCGTAAGGCAAGTGAGACTAGCAAACAGACTCAGGTTGCTGGAGAGGCAGGAGAATGTGTGAGACTCCAGTTTCTCACTCCACCACCACACTCCAGGTAACTGTATTACCAGTAAGAATAATTCGTCTTCTTGCAGGAATCACTAACACAGATTCCATGCCTGTATCATGCTGTATCAAACCTCTTATAGCCAAAACGTCTTTATACCTTTGCTATGCATGTGATCAAGTGCTTGTTATCAAACTATAATTATTTTCCTATAATTTTTACACTCTTAAATATATTTTAGCTTCTTGTCATGGTCAATATGAATTGTTTAGTTTTTTGAAAATATAGAATATTTGTGGATGACACAAGAACACAGAAATACTAATCATATCAGCATCAGGAGTACTTTAGGAATAATTCATGCATTATTACTTACCATAGTCATAAATTAGCAATGTAAGTTTTTATTATTTGCCAGATGCTTCTAGAAAGGAACAGAATCTAGTCGAGCACAGAAACTAATGCTGGATCTACAAATATTAGAGATAAAATATACCTAACCACCATTTCAGCACAAACTGCAAAGTAATGTCTATGCAGTGAATGGGAAACACTTAACAAACTATTTGCAGTAAAATTCACAATCTATATTCCTACTCTTAGTGAAGAGGCCCCCCATGATGCAACTTGTAAAGAGATTAGGAAATGGGGATCAGGTAAGAAATTCACTGGTTCCTTTTAAAATTTTGGGTTGACAAGGCAGGCTCACAAAACTTAGGACAAACCACAGCAAACACTGTCAGGAAATAGATTCTACTAGTTGATTGTTTCAGAGAAAAAAAAAAATCATCAAAAGTGCCACATTAGCATATATTTCACTCTAAATTACACTCAAGTATTTTGATTAAGGCCAAAAGTATTTAGGACCCTGAAACACAGAGTCTACAATGGATAATTGGGATATGTCAGGCGGAGACCAGGATGCTCCTCAGGGTCTTGCTGGAGGGGTTGCCAGTTGCAGCTCCTGGGTTCTCTCAGTCTGTTTCATCATAAACTTGTTTATGTTAACCAAGACCAAAATGGAAAGCAATTTAGGCTAACCTGGCTGATCTGCGCTGAAGTGGATGCTGTAAACCTTCAAGCACTACCAGTGTTGAGGGAAAACACCCAAGGCAAGAGATGGAGATGACTAATGAGCAGTAACTGCTCCAAGACTTCTTGGAAGCTCCTAAAGGATGCCTGACCACTCTTACTGCATGTTTGCTTGCCTAATAAAACCATTGGAGTTGTTGCTTCTCACATCTCACTCTTAAAACAGAGAGCTACAGATAACCTTCAGAAGAACAGCGTATTACTCAACATGCATATTGGATAGGAACAGAAAAAAAAAGATGTTTCAGTCAGTGGGTTAGGATGAGAGTTAATCTATGAAAAAACTTCCTAACAAAGACAGAAACGAGAGTCACTCACCTGCCTTTGGTGTTCACTTAGATGGAATCTCAAATTCCCAGTCAAGGGACATGAAATGGTGCAGCTCTACAATAACATACCATTGCAAATTGGACCAAACTATGACATTGCATCAGTACAGGCTTGGGGCGGACCTGCTGGAGAGCAGCTCTGCGGAGAGGGAACTGGGTGTCCTGGTGGACAACAGGTTAACCATGAGCCAGCAGTGCCCTGGCTGCCAAGAAAGCCAATGGGATCCCGGGGTGCATCAAGACGACTGTGGCCAGCAGGTTGAGGGAGGTTCTCCTTCCCCTCTACACTGCCCTAGTGAGGCCACATCTGCAGTACTCTGTCCAGTTCTGGGTCCCCAGTTCAAGAAACATGAGGAGCTACTGGAGAGAGTCCAGTGGAGGGCTACAAGGATGGTGAGGGGACTGGAGCATCTCTCCCATGAGAAAAGGCTGAGGGAGCTGGGCTTGTTCAGCCTGGAGAAGAGAAGGCTGAGAGGGGACCTAATATGTGTTTATAAATATCTCAAGGGTGGGTGTCAGGAGGATGGGGCCAAACTCTTTTCAGTGGTGCCCAGCGACAGGACAAGGGGCAATGGGCACAAACAGAAGCACAGGAAGTTCCGTCTGAACATGAGGAAGAACTTCTTCACTCTGAGGGTGATGGAGCACTGGCACAGGCTGCCCAGGGAGGCTGTAGAGTCTCCTTCTCTGGAGATATTCAAGACCCGCCTGGACACGGTCCTGTGCAGCCTGCTGTAGGTGACCCTGCTTCGGCAGGAGGGTCGGACTAGATGACCCACAGAGGTCCCTTCCAACCCCGAACATTCTGTGATTCTGTGATGACCATCTCCTGGGCGGCCTGACTGTTTCTACACATTTTGAAGATGCGGTGACAAAGAGGACGGGACAAAATGTCTTTTCTATTTCTTACTACGACTCTCTCATTTCTGGAGCTGCATTAGGACCCCATAAGGGAAGATGGGTAAGAATGTAAGCGTGCAGAGCCCACTTTCAAAAATTCTGGTGAATGTTCACTGCATATCCCACTCCTGGGAGGGGCTGGTAAGCAGCACTCCCATTTCTAAGTAATTCTACACAGAGTGCTACTTAACTAGCTATTTCAATAATGTGTTACCAAGCTGATTATCCAACATTCTTGTCAGGCCAAGGAATTATACTGATTGAAGGTATGACTTGAATTTCAAGATGTAGCTCTACATATCTCTAAAAGCAGTGTTTCTCAAAGAATTACCATACTAACACCTTTGATTATATGAAGTATGATACATGGCTTTGTAGGAAAGGCAGCAGTGTGTGTTTTTAAACTTCGTATTAAGGTCCAACTCCTTTAAGTACAAAGATGTAACTTTTTGCCTTTCTCCTTTTTCCTATGCCTATAAGCAACAAATGGTCTTGGTAATTTCAGTTTTTTCAACATACATAAAAACATGATGCATTTTCTTGCTACCTGAGATACAGGTTTCACCTCCTCAGAATAACACATTCAAGGGGAGTGAAAAGGAATTTTCTGTGGTTTAGTCTGGATTTTGATTTCCCCGTGCTGACTGGTTTTTTGCTCCTCTCAGACTCTTGCCTGCCTCCTCACCAGACTTCCATCCAATACGCCCTCTCCCTTCTTTTCATGCAACACTCTTGTTTCCTATAGCAGAACTCAACTTGTCACCATCCTCCTATTTACTTAGTAGGAAGGAAAGGAGCACCTTGGAAGGACATAGAAGCTTCTTGTAAATATGGCATCTACATTTGACGAGTTTTACCTTAATTATCGGTACTGCCAAAATAATACCTCAGGACAGGCTCATTGCATTGCGTAAATTCACAAAGCCATCATGCCCATCAGTCTGAAGATCACCGTTCAGGTCCACCTGAAGTTTAAACTGTAACAGTTCTGTTTTGCTGGACATTCATGTTTGGAAGAAAAGCTCTCTGAGCATTCAAAACAAAAAGATACTATGAAGTAAGACTCAACTAAGAATTTTCTGAATCTTAGCCTCTGAAAGGGAAATGCGTCCAGACCCATGCTGCTAAGTCAAAAGCAGATAAGTAGCAGCAACAAAATTTTGACTTCTCAGATAACTATTGAGAGTGTTGGGCATTTTGTAAATACTTGTTACATCTGAGAAGCTATGTGGCAATAATCTCTGCATCAAAGTAATCCCTGATGTGCAGATACAACTGAAATGAGGAAACAGACCTCCCTTGCCCTTATTTGTTTTTAATATACATGTATCCTGCAAGCAATTTTCAGCTTGTTTAATTTCAGACAAAAAAAAAAAAAAAAAGGTTACTTTGGTTACTTTTAAGATCCCTGACCTACCAGTATATAGTATCTCATTACTCCATACCAAAGGTATTAGACTCTCACAGACACAAAACTGGTTATTTTGAGACTATGGCCACTGAATATCACCATATCCAAGCCCCCACACATGCCTTGTACAATCATTTTTTTTAGTATTTCCAATGACAGATACCACCTGCTCCAGAGTTTGATTACCCTCACGGCTCTGCAGTCCTGTTTACCACAGTCACTGTCTTCGCTGGTTTTATATTCACCAACATGGGCTCAGCAACTGGACTTTTTGCTCTTGTGTCTCCCCTTTCATGCTAACTCTCAGTTTTAGAGATGATAAAAAAAAAAAATCCATGGACAACCATATACGTCATAAAGGAACACAAAAATAGTCAGAAAAGGTGATTCAGTGAAATACGCAATGAGGCGCAACCTCTCCTGCAGGTTTATTAAGACAATCTCAATTTTTGACCAAATCTGCTGTTAACACTAGACTATCATTACACCTAGAAAACTGTTCAGCTATTTCTGAAAAATTTTTTTAATGTGAGAAGTGAGCATTGAACTCTTCCAATAAATTAAGAGGCCAATCTACAGAAATAAGACGTAACCTCACTGCAACTTTAGCTTACTAGTAGGAAGCCAGTTACATTCTAAATGAAACAGTTTTGGGGGGGCTTTTTGTGTAGATCAAGGACTTGCTATTTAAGTTACAAAGGTCACTAAGCATGAATCACTGTAGCAGAGTCTGAATCATACTATAGAAAGGGACTTCTTCTCTGGGAATAATTAAAATAACATTCTTTTGAAATCATTACCACTTGTGCATGGGCTAAGGACTGTAAAATGATGTCAAGTTTATAAATCATTTGAACTATTTGAGAGACGGAATGCTTAGGAAACATAGAAGCAGATAATAGTTTTAAATCCTTTCCGGCCCCCTCCAGCCCTGGTTTTCTCTTTAATTAGCTGGTTTTAATCAGGTATTTTTCTCCCCTCTAATGCTCTTGCACAGATGTGACTGCAGAAATTCGAATCTCTGTTCTCTGTTGTCTGCAGATTACTCCTGTTTGGGCATATGTTGTAACAGACTCTATCAGGAGCTTCACAGAAGTTAAGGATGCCAGAGAGACGATGACTCCTCACAAAAGCGGCTCTTGGGGCAGACCTGAAAGCAGTCACTTTTTCTGACCCTCTCTACAGAGTGGCAGAAGTGGTGCCACCCACCCTGCTCCAAGCACACCACTACCTGACTGGTTTCAGCAAATTCTTCACTGGTCTAACAGTGTCAGCCTGGGCATCTTTTTTCAGGGCATGGATAAGCAGAGTTTATATATTAGGCCTCTCCTTTGTCACAGCAATATTAGCAAAATCAGGTCTTTACTAATGGTGGCAGGAGGCATGACAAGAAACTAGAATTATAAAAGGAGGATTTAAATAGAAAGAAAAGAAACAGCATGCAGACCATCAAAAGGAAGAGTATTTTTCCAACGTCACAAAGAGCACGAGCACCTAGGAAAGTATTTTAAAGCGACTTCTTGTTTGATATAATACACTAAATTCTGAAGGGGGAAAAAATGGAAAAACTCTTTCTATTTAATTTCTTTAACTTTATTACCTACACACCATAAAACCTGCTTTCATAACAAAATAGTGCAAGTAATATACTGAGCTAATATCCTAATTTACCTGTTGACTCTGTCTGTATACCCATCCTTCCGTTGCCATGTAACTCAAGGCTTACTGACCAATCCCATTGCCACTCAGACCTTTCAGACCCTCTCAGATCACCATCCCTCCTTCACAAGTTCCTCATATGGGAAGAAACAAATGGATAGCAAATAAAGTTGTCTCACAGGTGTGGGGGACAGAGTAAGGGTACACGGTCTGAAGAAAAACTGAAGTGTGACATATGCATAAAGAAGTTCTTTTAAGAGCAATTACTATGCTTAGATTCCCCGTCTTCTTAAGAGACCCCTTTCCGCTGCTACCTCCGGTATCTCCTTGGAGAGATGCTCCTAGTACCGCTATGAAGTTTCTTTCAAGTATCATGCTTGGGTACTGCAGAGACATGCTCCGACTCCACTGTGTTACTCACATTCACGTATTTCTTACTTAGCACAGGGCCCTTCCAGGTTTCCTGCACGCTCTTCTCTGTGATTACAATAATCCCTCTGCATAACTGAACTATGGGTTCCTCTTCACCTGCTAACCCTCTTATCACACACTTTTTCTTGTTTTCTGCAATTTGTCTAAAAGATTTCATAAATGGTAAAGTTTTAAGCCAGAACTTAAACCTGAAAGGTTAACTGCACAGTTTAGCATCCTTGAATTTTATCTTTTGACTTTGATAAGTCAATTAACATTTAAAGAGCTGGTCTCACCAAGATGCTGCAGATGTTCTGAGGTATCTTGTGATGCAAAACAACCCTAAATCTATTTTAAAAAGACTACTGATCTCTGCTAAGTGATATTCCAAAATAGCATGCACCAGTCCAAATCTAGTGGTTTGTGCTATTCTAAAGCAAACAGAAGTGCATGCATGTGCACATTCACACAGGCACATGAATATATATAACTTGCTGTGGTTTCATATTCACAAGACACAGAATATTAACTATTAAAAATAACCAACTTCGTGATGTGCCAATACCACAATTACTCTCTAATCTTTTTGCTACAAACGTCCAAAACAATTCACAAATAAAAAATACACATTACTTGGAATTAAGGCTTTTGATTTAAAGAGGAAAAAGCCTAAAATAAAGCTGAAGTTGTGGCTAAAGCATGTGTGGTAGAAACATCAGAAATTTGCTGTTTACACTTAACACACACAAAAGGAAATGCAGAGCACAGGTACTCAACAACCCAGACCGCCCTCTTACGATGTGCAGTGATCATTTGATTTTTCTTCAGCTACATCATGTTTGTGCTCCCACCTTGGACAACTTTTCTTTTTAAAAGACAAAGATTCATATTCCACATCTCCCACAATTCCTTAAAACTGTTCTACTGCATTAAAATAAAGCTGTGTGGATGGCTCTACTGTGTAATTAATAGGGGTTACACCTAGATTTTTTTCCATAACTTCAGTGTTATTGATACTGTCTTTGTGGCATCTAGAATATTATATCAGAAGAAAAGTCAGCACAGAAACTGCCCTTGACATTATTTATGATTCTAATTAGTTAGTAGAACCTACTGTAGCGTGCATTTTCTTACCGGTATCTATGAACAAATATACCCTTAAAAATAGAGTTCATCATATTTTCGATTTCATCTTGGTTTTCTTGTAGCTGCAAAAAACAAAACAAAAGATCACTGTTTATTATAATTTTATATTCTATAATTCCTTACTAGGAAACATTAGAAGACCTTGGAAAAGAACTTAATTAAAGGTATTAGCAGAGTCACCAATTGCTACTTTTCCAGCACATGCCTATATTGTGCGCATATATATACACATATATGTATATGCAATGCCTTAATGGCAGAAAGTTAACATTCTCTGCAAACATCAATTAATTTAGTTCCAAATTAATCCTTTGTAGACAAGTAGAGACTGTGTGTTCAGTATTGTCAGCAGTCCTGTAATCATAGTGACACAGATAGAAGTGAGTGAATGACAGCTGCAGAAATGAAGCTGGTCACAGACCAGGAATCTCCTCTGAAAAATTCAACATCCTCTTAAGGAAAGTACTTAAAGATGTTGTTAATCTTAAGTATGAGTGTAAATTATTTTAACATCACCGCCCATCAAAGCTTTTCCAAATCAGAGCATGGGTGCTTAACACTGGAGCATACCTGACATCCAGTCCCAGGCCTTAGGTTGCAGAAAACCAAACCCAAATGAAAAAGGTGTTACAAACGTGTTTTTATAAATAATTAAGGTTTTTAAAAAACACTCTGTTTCCTGTGTAATATGAGCACATTTTGTAAGTACTACGGAAGGCTTACTTTGTGTCAATGAATCTGTTAATACATCTTAAAGAAACATCTTGGCATCAATTAAAATATTCTTGTATTGTCAGCTTTTGTACTAAACTAAGTAAGTATGATTTAATTACACCAAAATGCAGCTTTGTTAAATGAGATGACGCCAATTTCATACAATCAGCTTTTCGAGCAGAACCACTACCACACTCCAAGCCATTGTTCTTCCATCAAGGTGTTTCTCCGTATCAAAGCAGAATACCACAGTCTGTGTGAATGCAAACCTTCCCATGTTCTCAGTATGAAAACCACAACAGAGCCTTGCTGGTGCAGAGTGCATATATGAATAAAATAATAAAAGCTCTGTAATTATGGACACAGATATTTAACAGATAAGACATCTTAAAGCCAGAGACAGAATTATGATCAGCTATTCTGACTTCCTGCACAGCACGAGCTCATAAACACTTAGGGGTTTACATTTTTCAAGCCATGTTTAAAAATATTTCTACAGTATCTTCCAGATAAGATCTTAAGTGGCTTGCAAAATTCAGTAAAGGAAGGCTCCCAGTTTCCTAAAATGTAAGGAGGTGCTGTCTCTATTTTGCATATGGGGAAACTAAGGCACTGAGAGTTCTTGACTAATCTGTCAAACATCTTCCAAATAAATTAATTTCATAGTAGAAGGGATTATGTACAAAGGGGAAAGTTGGGTGCACTTCAGCTCTGTGTATACCAAAGGGCTGGTACACAAAAGAAGCATATTTAAACACGGCTTCTGGAAGAAGCACTGTTTTCAGCCTCATCTCAACCCACGTATGCACAGGCTAAATGCTTGTTCAAGAATACATAACCCAAAGAGAGCACATATTTCTGGCCACTCCTCAGCTGGCTGACTTCACAGGCTACAGGCAGGCAAACATCCAGAAAAACATGGGGCAAGAGACAACCTAGCACTGACTGTGGAGTAAAATGAGTATGGGAATGAACCAAGAAGCCTCAGGAGGCCTTCTGAAAAACCCCTGAGACCCTGAAAGGGAAAGGGGAAGCTCCTGGAGAACTCTGGGTATGAATCGTTAACACAAAAACACACCACAGAAGAGAGGTAGGAGAGACTGAACTTTATGAGCCATGAGAAGGTTAAGATATTGATGTGTACTTTGACATTTCTTTGAACGAGAAGCTCAGCAGCACTGTACAAGACTAAGTGGCATAGATGAGGAAGCAGCATGGATAGCTTCCTCCCTCTTTTTCTGCTTTTTCTACAGGGAATTTACAGCTTCCTATAAACCTGGTAAGTTATCAGCTGTATTACTGATACGGGGATCCACGTGCGGGGGCAGAGCTGGTATACAAGGAGAATCAGAGATTCAGTAGGTCCATGTGAGATCCCTTTTACTTTTGTGTGCTAACATTTATAAGATATAGTTCTCAAATGTATCTTCATCTCAGTAACAAATTAACAATTCTTTGAAGAATATAAATTTTCTCCAAAAATTTAATGGCTTTTTACACTTTCAGCTTTCCTGACCATGTACTTGAATCTCAGTACTTAACTTCAGGCATCTCGAGAGAGCATTTGTGTCTCAGGATTCCTGCTCTTACCAATGCAAAAGTGATTTGACACACTCTGCTTATACCTAAGTAAAAATAAACAAAACATTCTTGTCTTGACTCTGCAAGCATTTTGAGAAGCTCAAAAAGCCATGTATGACAAACACACACAAAAAAAAGTACTACCGGCAGCAACTAAAACATAACTTTTTTTATTCTGTTGCAGCTTGTTACATCAATCATCTGGTTTAGTTGAAAATCTCATTGGCGAGAACAGACCTTCACGCACTGCTCCCTCATTAGGTGTGCAGAAGATGACATGAGAAGGAAACACTTCATAGAGAGTGTTCCGTCTCTTCTACTTCAGATTAATTTGCCACACTTCGCTTGCAAACTGTCCCTTCATGAAGATAAACACATGCCCATGAATGTGCCTATGAGGGTTTATTATGATGGCACTACGTCGAAAGAATCAACTAAAAGTGCCAGCACAGAATACTACTGTAAATTCAGCATATTTAAACATGGGAAATATACAGCACTATGTTAGGAATTCTTACCCAGAGCCATTATGCCATCTAGACCTAATAAATCTCTTCTGTACAAGGCCCTCTACTATGCTTAACACCATGTATCTGAAGACATACTCAGTCACCACCACTCCTCTTTGGCTTACTCCTAGGCAACATTTTTATTAGTTTTAGTGAGCAGTGATACGAGAGAGACTGAACATACATGTCAAAAGTTAAGGTTTGCTAAACGCTCATTCTTCTTTCAGGGTTTCACAGCCCCGCACTACCTTGGGTATCGTTGCTTCAGAGTCTCCCCAGAGCAACTACATCTGCATCTCCAAAAGACATTGAAAAGACCAGCTGAAGGAATGAATATATAGAGGGCATCCATAAACACAGGAATACTAAACCAAGTTAATCTGTGTAATTAGTTACCTTGTCCTTCTCTGGAAACTCAAAGCAACAACAAGCAAATTTGGAATAGAAACTGCACTCCAGCTATTTTGACAAAACAACTCTGCTTTTTAAAATTCTTTAAGGCTGACATTGAATTTAATATTTAACTGAAAAAGTTTCTCCTGCAGTTTGGGTAGGAGAGGTTGTTCTTGCTTTGTACCGTAATGCATGATCTTTAAGAAATACGAAAGCCAAATAAAACTGTGTTACAGATCATAGAGGTAAAATAAAAACAAGAATATATAATTGCAATTATCCCCAGACAAAGACTATAAAGTCAAACAATTTTGAGTCAAAGTTATACCTAAAAGAATCCAAGGTGCACACAGGTGAAGCACTCAGCCATCCTTAATTTGCCACAGGGTAAAACTGTGGTGGAAGAAAAACATTCAAAACTAAAGTATGAAAAATAATAAATTTAAATCTAAGTAATATATACTTCATTTTTTCAATCCATCTTCTGAGTTTTTCATGGCACCTTAAGAGATTATGGCTGTTTGGGTGTATATGTATTCATTCTCTACTTGTCATCTTTAAATTTCTTTTAAGTACAACTCTAAAACTGCATTTCCTGGGTTATAATACTTTATTTAGGGATGATTACAGCAACCTTCTAATGATTTCGCTCACCTAATGCCAGACTGGTACTTACTAAAAGCGACTTTTATGTCTCCCTAGCTTCTTCTCCCTGAGACCAGGTGCTATACCCCCATTCCAGTGTTTCTTGAAAGCAGTTACAAAAAGAAGTACTAACGAGACACTCTGAAATAATTCCAGTGATCAAAGGGAGATACGGGCAGTGCAGTGAGGGACTACGTGTGATCCTCTTGCAAAATATTTTTGCATAACCAAATCAGATACTACTTACAAAACGAAACTAATTTTCTTCCTGCCCAGCCACAGACACAAGCCTGAGAACAGAAATTATCCTGTGTGTGCAGAACAGCACACGAAGTCAACTGAATGTGTTAACAGCACATTTGAAAATGTAGCCCAAGTAATATGCTTGAGATCACACACACACGACTGCAGAACTGATCTCTTGTTTCTCCCTACGGTACTCAAGTTACAAACCACCCTGGACTTTCTGTGGGAGGGAACACACGTGAACCAGGAAAAAAAATTCATCTTTTCACTTGCCTCTTTCCTTTTCTGAAGCAGCAGCTCCAATCTTTCATTAGCTCTTTTGCCAATCATTTTGTTTCTCTCAGCTTCATACTGCCTCTGTGTATTATCCTGATGAATGCTCAGGTTTAAGGCAACATTCACAAGAGCAGTCATAAGCTTCATAGCTGCAAAGGCAGAAGACAGAATATGACTCTTTACCTGTAGTCAGAGTTAAAAAATATTGCCTCAGCAGATCCATACTCACAGAAAATAACCAACGTGACCCTGACACAAAGCCATCAGGAAAGGCACTTCCCACCTAAGCAATACTCAGGTCACTTGGTTGATCTGAAGATCAGAAAAGAGAGGATACACACACCACACTGAGATCCAGGCAATGTTCTTTGCCATCTTCTCCAGAAAATTATGGAAGTTCTGAGGGTATTAGGTCAGTGAGCAAACATGTGAATCTGCAGGATCAGTGTACACCACAAAGCCAGTTACTGTAAAGTTACATACATTTCTCTACTAAGAATCATTCAGTATCATTCTAGATGCCTCCATACTAAGTGCAACTCTTAGCCAATAGCTATTGAGGATTACGCAGTTTACAAGGGACCACAGCACCGTTTCTCTGAAACTACGTTTGACATTGCTGTAAAGTCAAGTGTATAGTTGTAAAAAATATGATTAGAACTTTATGTACCCCTTTATATGCATTTTCACACGTTGGATATATTATTTTTCATGTATATTTTTCTGTCTTTATGTTTACAAAAACATTAATAAGGGTCTTTCCCATGTTCTGTGTGGTTACATGGCATATCACATTTTACAATACTGAAAAAACAGCAAAATAATGTAAGCAACTATCACATCCTCACTGGCTAAATATGCAGCATTGTCTTCAAGGTAGAAAAGCAACTATACAAATGGAGAACCGCAGCTACTCTTACGGTAACTCTGTCTTGTCTTGCTATTGCTTGAAGCTGGTAACTCTAGAAGCACCCACATGTACTTCTTGAGTTTCTTGCTATAGTGAATAATTTTTCATTTAAATTAGCTAGCACAGAGCAATACTGGAAACAAAGGCCTCAAAAACACTCCTTCAAGAATAAATGAAATTCTAAAAGTAGATTTTCATAAACTTTATCAAGACTGAGCTCCACGGCATCATGCTGACCTCTGCTCGGCAGGATAGCAACATCATTAAATGTGCAAAAACTAGCTTGAAGGAAATTTGCAGAATCAAAACAAAGCTCTCAAGCTTGTTAAAACAAATAAAGAAATACACAAATGGCATGTATTATCACGGGAAAAAGGGGGACAACTTTGGCAGCTCCTGTTGCTAATGTAAGCACTAGATCCATGCGTATCTAATGCAAGAAGCCAGCAGTGGCTTAAATAACCAACGCTAGTTGTGACGAACCTTGGCATTAGCATTCACTTATCCTTGCTTGAAGTTTCTAGCTACATAATCCATTGCAAATGATGGCAGCTATTTCTTCCACATAGCACAGGTCTTGCGTAGCATCTCTAATTTACAGTGCTGCTTCCTGTCTCTTCAATCAAGCCTCTCACACTTTCCAAATAACTGTCCACACCAGGATGAACCAACTAACAGAAGAGACCAGAGTGCACACCTCACTCCATAATCTCTCTCCTATGAAACAACCAACCACATCTTAAAGCAAATAGCAAATCAGAATCACCCGGAACTGAAGATCGTCAGCATCAGCCGGAAAGGAACACAGTTTCCATCTCAGTTTAAATAACAGGCACAGATTTCCAGCAGGTTATCTGCAGCTCAAATAGTGTTCACCTTTGAATACTGAATACGTAGAGGCAAACTCTAAGCCTGGAAACTTGCGCCTGCATAATTCATGTTGTTACCATCCCGTTACTGAGTAAGGTAAAGCATGCAAGGGGATCGGTTTCCCTGATACGTTCAGTCACTGTGAGTTGAAGGTTTTGGCTTTTAATTTTTACATCAAACTCCAATCAAATCCAGAGGTGGTTTTTCGGTATCGTTGGAAATCTTCCTCTTAGATTTACAGCAAGAGATGGAATTTTAAACAAATTCTGACTGAATTTGTTGGGCACCGAGTATTGCATTCTGAAATTTGAACAAAATTGTAAGAGGCTGATTGTGGAAAGACTAACTAAATTGTTAACAAATACTAGCAGTAGAAACATTCAGATTATGACAAATGTCTCCTACGAAGGCTTCAAATATTTGGCATGATCTACAAACAGTCTAGGGAGAAGAATCTTCCTGTAAGATGTATTTCAGCATGAGATAAGCAGAAAGACATCACCTGTCACAACCAGCTTTAGCCACCCTAGTATTGCTTTGTAATCAGAGAAAAATAGTTACTCTAGAGAGCAATTAATCTGTCTCACAGGAAACATTTCATACAGGTCTGATGAACACACTCTAGAAAAGCCTGTTTCCATCTAATGATATACTCAGTGCCTTCCTTAGACATAGGCAGCTCTGCTGACAGGTGCAGCATGGCTGAAGGTAGAAGACAGTCAGACCTACAACAAAGGCCCAGTGCTCCCAAACTTAATGCTTCTCAAGAGTGGAAGGCAACAGGTTTTGGTTTTCGGTGGACTGAAATTCTTTGATAATACAATTTTTGTAACAAATTTTAGTCTAAAATACAAAATTATGAACACATTTTAGACAACAAATGAACAACTAATAAGAAAATACAAGACATAAGCATGCCACTTTTGATTCACAGGATTCACTGGACGCCCCTGAGTATGACAGGAATCTCTGAGATGCCTCAACACAATCCTTTCCAAACAAAAAATGTATTCTAAGTATAATTATACCATATACAGTACTTGGATTCGATCAAGCTTTCCAGAGTTCTCGGTAGTGGTCAAATTCCACCTCAATGAAAATTAGGAGTAATTCCCAAAATGGCTAAATAGTAGCAACTCCTTTGAAAAAAACTCTTCTCTAAGCTAGCTTACTTACCAGCTAATGTACTGGTGTGCCTGAAAGCCCGCACCTGGGAATCTGACAAACCAGTCAGAAGAGAGATCACCGTGTCCATCATGTATTCATCATAAATGATGCTATACTGACACTGTCGAATGAGCACTCCAATGAACTCGCAGAAGTTGGATCGAAACTTCTTCCACTGTGGCCCAGGCATGGTAAGTGGATAATCACCACTGTCCTGAAGAACAAGAAAATTAAAATCTTAAGTATCAAAAGTCTCCTCATTTAATTTATTGTGATGTTGTTCTAGCCATCATGGTCTAAGTTTCTAAACTAAATGCTATCTTTTTTCCTTCAATTCAATGGAGAGTAACAAATAAAAACCACACATTATTCTTCAATAAACAAAGAAGTCTGTTGGCACAAAAGCACTTTTTCAAAGACTTCATTATAACTGTTCTAGACTTGCAATATTAGCTCTTTATAGTCCAAAATACGCATCAAGAATCAACTCTTTTCCTTGTGTCCTGGGTTAGGAAGTGGGAGGAAAGGATAAGAAAGGAATATTTCAAAGTATTTAAGGTCAAAAGCTAAAGAAAGACTTGTGTCATTGAAGGTTTGTGTCATTCTCCATCCCTACTTTAGCTCCATGTTAATATCCTAATCAACTGAATGCCTCTCCCCACCACCTTTGCTTTACTCAAGTTTACAACTTGAGACCTTATCAGAAAGTTAAAATTCCCCTTTTTTATCTTATAAACTTACTCTTTTTCTAGCAGTAAAACCTGTTTTCTGATAGAAGTAATGGAAATTCTACTACAGGTATATATACCCCATACAGTTTCACACACTCCATCTTCCAAAGATTATTGCAAGATTGAAGTAAGCATGTGAACCCTCAGTTCATTTAAGTTTAACTACTCTCCAAGTCTGCTCTTACTATTCTCACTGCAAGCAATACTGCTTTTCAGTGAGCCTTCTCCCCCCCCACCCCCCCTTAAAAAAATACTTTTTTCCCCTTCAGTGAAAAAGACTGTATATCATCTACCTGGTCACCTGATCTGTAAACCAATTGAGATTATCCAAAACATCAAGGCAATAATGCTCCATCATGCATCTCTCCCCCAAGATAAGAAGTCAGTAGTATCAAAGTTAAACCCATTTGTACGTATTTATTCTGTGGTTTTGTGAAGAACTAGCACTTCTATTCTCTCAGACTTGTCTTATCGCCCAGACTGAGCTATGTAAAGCCAGTAATGTCAGCACAGAGGAGCTGTCATCAAATAGCCTTTTACTTAACTTCATAAATTATATTCCCCTGCAGCAAAACCCCGTCTATGAAATTTAACCAAATCACACACCTTTCAATCATACTAAAATAATGATTAAAATTGCAAAGACAAGTGCTTAAATAAAAAGACAAAATTATAAGGCAGTCTTAATGACCTGACCGTTTCATTCATTACAGTGCTGAACAACATGATCTTCATGAGCTGTGTTTGTACTGCTACCTTTGAATGCCCCATCAGAGAGAAACAGGAGGGGTTGTAAAGTTCCCGACATAAAGACATCTCCTAGCGCGTTCCATTGTAGCTGAGTCCTCAGAACTTCTGGGACCTAGATCAAAACGTTTCGTAGTAGAAACCCAGATAAACGCAGTCTATAATACGGCGGTGCCAGGTGCCTCACAGTGTTCGCTGTCTGTTAATGTCTAATGCTCTTGTTACTGAACTTCAGCAAGGTACAGTGTCCTGCCATGCAAATATGAGCCCTGCATTAGCCTCATATTTATTTAAATTTAGAACTGAAATTAAAATGCTCAAGCTTTTTTCCTCAGTGTTTGCCTGACAGTAACTCCATAGGAACACCCCAGACTCCTCTTCTTCTCCCTGCTTACACCTTATTTTCACAAATAACCTCCAGACTAAGTCCCTGCGTGCACAGTACCTGTGGGAACTCTGCATACATCATCTATGCTTTCTAGAGGTATGTAGATGTAGTTTTTGGAACAGATCCTCAGCATCTCTAGTGCTGTGCCTAACTACTCACATTTATGTGATGTATTTTAAACCTACAACTACATACTAGAAAGTCCTTTCAAAAAGCATACGAAGACTGCACCAAGAACATCTCATCCGGCTGAAACGGGAAGAATAAATTTCCAATAAAGCCACTTTATTGGATCTTTTATCCTTGAATACCAATAAAAATGTGATACATCAGTGACACTGGCATGATACTTGATAGTCCAATGATTAGAAAACTCCAGCCCAAACAAGTTTTTGTTCACCTACTTACTCCAGCACAAGAATTATGCAGGAATTCATGTACAAAATGCCTGTACTCATAAGCCAAGCACCCAAATAGCGCAGCAGATGGAAGTCCATGGAATTCCCCATTTCAAACTGAACCCGTGGCAGCAATGAACAAAGTTACTTCCATCATTTAGTCCTGCACAAGTCTTCCTCCACTCAAGATTAGGAAAATCAATGCTTCAATCCCTGCCATTAATGCAGGAAGTAGGACCAGCAGCCAGCTGATTACTGCAGCACTGACAGAACAATTCAATCATCTTGAAAAAGTAAAGAAAGTAGCAAACCTGAAGATCTTCAGTGGAGATTAAGGTATTTTCTGGGCAGTATACTGTGCTAATGAATAGACAGTGCAAGTAAATACTACACTTGTACTTTTATTTCCCTGTCAGCTCCAGGCTTGTAGAATTGAAAATGGCAATTCTAAAGACAATAATGAAGATAGGTTTGGCTGCTAGACTGGCTTAATTATTTTGACAAGAGCCTCACTACCTCTCTGCTTCACTCCCACATAGTCAGACATTACCTTCTCACGGACTGACATTGGATTTAGAGGCATGAGAGGACAGCTGGGCAAGGAAAACGTTCTGGTGGCAACAGCCCTAGGCAACTGCTTTGTCTCAGGATGACATGGAGGGAATTGACATTGGGAGTCCCAGGGTACTGGAAGAGGTACTACAGGTGAAATGCCAGCAGTGATATTTAGAATGAAGAATTGAGGGCTGTTGCTCCACTGTGCAGAAAACGGTGGTGCTTTACTGAGATAATGTACGACCACCTGGCCCAACCACTGCTGCTGGGCTCCTGGCTCCCTTTCTTTCATTGCTTACTGCAGACTTACAAAAAAACAGCAAGAAAAGAAAGGTTGGAAAGGATCACTCGGTTCTGCCCAATTTAACTTCAGTTGCCTTTAGTCAAAGGACTGTCACTGGAAAATGTTGTCTGCTACCAACAGTTCTCCCACAGACAAATGATTGTTGTTCTGCATGTTGAAGTGGTGGACACGCAGCAGAGGGCCAAGAAATGTGCTAATGCTATGCCAGCCACAATTGCAGCTTTACAGTCTGCCGAAGACCGAGGAAGATTTTTGTTTGCTTGTTTCATTATGTGTTTTACCCTGAACAGTAATGTAAGCTGCTCTTAATCTAAAAGCTTATATTTTTTGTGACTACCAGATCCTTTTAGGCACAGATCAATCTAAAATATTGTGACTAGCAATATGAACAAATAAGTCATATAACAGTTATAAATTTACTATGCTGTGATCATCTGACAGATGAACATCAGTTGAAAACTGCACTAAATGCTAAAATATTTTCCACTACTAACAGGTTATGCATTTATTCCAGATTTCAAAGTATTCACTGGGTGTGGCCAAAGACTAACAATTTCACATTTTTACACTACATCCCACAACTTCTTTCACAAATCCATTGAAGTGTTAAAGCAGAAGCTAGAACAGAAACTTTCTGTTCGAACTGCAAAGGTTCAGAAAAGTTTTGGGTAACAGAGAAAGCAAGCTTATGTACTAGTAACTGTAATTCTTTGAAATACGTTGCTTCAATGTACATTCATACAGTGCATAAGGAAGAAAGGTTTCTTCTCCTTTGAGAAAAGACTTTGACAGTTTTTGAAAAGGGTTTTTTGAGAACTACTTCCTTCTGCCAACTGTGGGACAATCCTCCCTTAGGCAAAATCAATGTTCTTTTGCTTTTGGACAGTGCCTTGGCCATTCTATTTTGTACAATGGGGCTAGACTAAAGACAATATTCAATTCTGTTTTCAAATTACACTACTAAAAATTCACTGCATTTTATTAACTTTGGTTGGGTAACATTTTATAAAGCAAAACTATTTCAGCCAGAAAGTAGCACAAATTGATGGAAACCTTTCACTCATCGTTGCACACTGTGCCCTATCCCACCTGTACACAAAGGCCCTGAGTGAATACCAGTGTGCAGCAAAAGGAGCATCCAGACGGGCTAGTTAAGTACATACTTAAACACTTTGTTGTTCAAGGCCATGAAGAAGATGGGAATCCTACAGAATAAAATCCTAACAAAGAGCAGTGTTCACATTTCTAGTTTTCCTGCTTAATTTTTTGAATCACAACCTTGGCGTTCCATTTAGAATTGGTCAGAAAAAGACACCACTGCCCTACAGAAAATGAATGTTTCAGCATTTTTTTTCCTCACTATACAAAATGAACACTCAGACCATTTAAGTTTTTTATATGTGAAAAATAAAAAAAAATACAATTTGAAAAATTTCAAAGCTAAAAAGCATTCACCATTAGGAAGATTTTTATTTTGATAGAAGACACCCAACTTGAATTCTAATACACTTGTTTCAAAAAAAAACCACTTAGAACTTTTGAAAGAGTATTTCGTTCTGTAACACTGTTCCAAAATGGTAATTTTCACATCAAGTTACTATTTGGTTTAAATTGCCATTTCAAATGAACAACGCATCAATTTGCACACAGGAAAAAGCACCGAACGCTGCAAATGCCATGCTTGCAGCCCTGTCTCAGGAATCTGGATTCTTCTGTTGTATGATGTCAGTTCCAAGGGATGAACTTCAGAATCCAGAATACCACCACCAGTTTCAGTGGGATAAGAAAACTTTCTACAGTTGTTCTTACTGCCTCCTCTTACTGACCCCTCTAATACCCAGGATGCAGACAGCCACGGATATCCCTAAATCCATACAAAGATGTAAGAGGGTCTACACAGCTCCAGTCCAGGGCTAACCTGGACCCAAGCTAGTTCTTGCAGAGTCAGACCTGGCTAGGCTCTCTTACACCACCAGAGCTGAGCTTGCTCCATGCTTTCATGTGATAGTACACTTACGCCCTTAAACGAGCTAATTCACAAACTTTTCAGTATCAGTATTTCAGCATCCAGGGCCTACTCAATCCACAACGATGACTTTTCAAGACCAGCAACTATAACTATCCTTTCAAATTATATTATTACTTTTTGGTTTTCCGTTATTATTCTTCCCTAATGCTCCTCATCCAGTAATTTGAATCACTGCTTTGCTTGTCCATGCAATTTCTCATACCGAGACATTGCTTATCCACCGGTTTCTTGCCCATTGCATTTCTATTTTAAGACAAAATTATATTGTATTATATTTCATCATGTTTAAAGACCTATTTGTATACTATACCTCATCAAATTCTTCCGTCATTTTCCTTATGATTTCCGCATTTTGCATGTTCCTGAACATTTCAATTCTTACAGTACCTGTAATATAATGAAGGAACAGAAGAAATTAACATAATCCATTTTTTGTTAATTCAAAATATCAATGTTTTTCTGCTGCTAAACTTACAGCTCAATACTACATACAAAAGACTATATAATGCAATAATAACAGGAACGCATTGAACAAGACTGTCTCTTGAAGAAGTGAGTAAAAAACCATCCTCTGTCCTGTAAAGTGCTATCAGACTAGGAGTTGGTAAAATTTCCCATGTTTATTACTCTTTACAGCTGAGCAAGTGTGATACAGAAGTGACAGCAATGTAGAACTCATGCCATGTCTGCAGTTGCCAAGTGCTTTTAATTTTGTGTGCAAAAGAAAATGAAGACCATCTTTCAGTTCCACGGCCGCTACTAGTGATTCCCCACTTGTTATGGTGGGTCACCTGGGTTACAGATACACCACGATCTCTACGCAGAGACACAGGAGCAGTTTTCAAACCGCTTAGCTCAGGACCAGCCCAGCTTACTGACGTAGGCACAGCACTGTGTGAATGGAGCTACAGCACCTGCGGAGCAGAGCTAGCGCAAGTGCATCGTATGACCCTGCTGTCAGCAAGTCTTCGCAAAACCAAAGGCTCCACAGGGAAGATGTGAGCTGGCTCAGGACTAAAAGCAGCAACTGCATCTGTGTTATTCCTTCATTAGATTACGCCATTCCCCCCTGTTACCTGAACAGCAAAGTTGATAGGATTAACTTTTCACTGTAAATTGAACAAAGCTACTGAAACTGAAAATATGACAACACAGTAGCAATAAATAAAAATTCTTGTGACTTGATCCTAAAATCAGTCAGTATAAATGAATAGTTTTTTTACACATTTTTGCCTTTGCAACTAGACATTGTCTAAATATCCAACCATATAACACAGGTCAACATATAGAACGTTTTTTTTGCACGATCTTCTTTTTACCACTGCACAATCTTCTTTTGTTAATGAAGGAAATGCAGGAAAACTAAGCAAACTGCAGAGCTACAAAACCATCCCAACGTTCTTAACATCGCAAAGAGCAAGTCTCCCTGCTTTTGCAAAATGTTCAACTGGATTAATGATCCACTGCATGGCTCCAAAAATTCAAGCTGTAATAGAAGGAGCTTAACAGCTAGTAGTATTAGGTCCTCTACAAAGGATAAAGATAATTTAAGCATACTAAATACTGCGAGAATGTTTTAATTCTGACATTTTATTCCTTGAAAAACAAGCACTAGAAACATATGCATTTCAATATATGCAAGCACAGGTGAAGCACGCCAATCCCCTATCTTAGCAGGGGTACTGTTTTACAATGCAACTTAAATATTGATTTCTTGAATGGGTTTTGCTTCTGCATGAAATAATATTTACCTGAGATCTATTTCATACTGGGTAACACTGTGAACCTCAGTTCTAACAATGGCAATTTAAGTTTGTGCATGGTAACTTCCATATTATTAATAAGCAATTAGTAATGCAACATATTAATATAAAACAAGAAACCCAAGAGAATACTATCATATGACAGTTGAAGAACTGTTTTATCAGCTTTGAAATTATCTGTAAATGCAGCTATATTTTAATGTTTCTCTCAATATTGAAAGTTTTGTTCTGAATAAGTGAAAGTTTCCCAGTATGTCTCAGACTATTGAATATTGGAGAATTATTGTCAGAAATCCACATCAATTGCATTAATACTTCTTCTCCTCTCTGCATGCTGTCATCCATTGCTCTGCTCGTTGGTAATATAATGTTCATTGAAAAGGTAACCTATTGACCTTTGTTATTTTGGTTTTTTATAGCCCTGATTCTAATTTTATTCTTATCTATTTATGACTTCGATTTATAACCTTAAATAGCTCCCATATAATATATAACCCTGTTACGTTGTCAGAAAAAGTAAAACCACCACAACTAAACTTCCTTGTTAATGCACTTCACTCAATTCAAATCTCCATTCAACTTTGTATAATTCTGTTACGGCTCTCTATATTTTCCTCTCTGAGGATACAGAACGCAATTACACTGTGGTCACTACTACTTAGTGGCTCAGATATTGTTAGCTCTTAAATGACCTCCTGCACACTACTTCACAGTCAAGTCAAGTATAATTTTTCCTTGAACATCTCTTAAAGAATCTGTTTCAGGAGGTGACTGCTTAAAGCACTGCTCCTTCAATTCCACAACTTTGCAGATGCAGTAACAGTGCTCAAAGACAGCTGATGGCTCACACTGGACGCACGCACTCTCCACGTTATGATCAGACAACAAATTGTACCCACTGTGCCACAGATGCATGGAACCTGCCCTCTAAATTGGCCAGTGGGAGAGGCTGCAAATGCAGGACTGCAAACCACAGGCTATTTCCCTTGAATCATGGAAAGGCTTTTTACCTTCCACGACTAGAACTGAGACAGCATCATCTATCTCCTCGGCACTTTAGGATACTGATCCCTGTGCAGAGGTGTTACAGATAAGGGTGGTATAGATTCTACACACATCTTCCAAACAGGCAACGGTCCAGCTCTTTGGGAGCATCAGGCAGGGGCATGCATACAATGAAACAAACTTTTGACATCTTCTAGGGATGCCAGGGTGGACAAGAGCTCAACGCTGCCAAGGCAGCGTCAGCAAGCATTACGAGGAGGGAAGATGAACAGCACTTATCAACTCACTGTCACATCTCATTCTTTCCTCCACTTTTTATGACAAAGTTTACTGGAAGTCATGCCAAGCAAAATGAACATTTCTACTTCTTTGGCAGTAGGTAATAGCTTTGGCCTGACTGCTTTTCCAATCACCACCTTCCCCTGACCCAACCAAAACACAATCCTGTCTGTTTGTCCGGGAAACTGATTTAATGCTCTGTAAAAATGCTATGAAGACTCTGTTCACAACACATTTCACGGTGTCATCACAACATTTCAATACTGCAACGGTCAACACTGTTCAAATTCATAGTTTTCATGATTCATGAAAAGCTAAACTCTCCCATTTTAAAGTAAATCCTTGCAATATAACAGATTTTCTGTAAAATACAATTGAAGGTGTGGAGTGCATTCCTCTGGCTTCTGCCTTACTCACAGAATCACAGAATGTTCGGGGTTGGAAGGGACCTCTGTGGGTCATCTAGTCCAACCCTCCTGCCGAAGCAGGAGAATACTCACATTGCTACCAGTCTTCTTCCTTTTCTAAACTGAATTTTATCTTGATCATGAAGCTCTCACTCTGTATTTAGTGAAGAGGATTTAAATTGTCTCAGTTCATTAACAAATTGAGAAGCCTATTCCACTTCAGTACTAAGCTCTCAGTTCAAACTTCATGACACACATTGTGTTTTAAGAAGTCTTCTTGCTGACATGTAAGTATATTTCATTAATGACAAAATTCCAATTTAACCTTCAGCTAAAGACAGATATAAATTTAATTTTCAGTAATTAATCATGTCACTCAACTGGCTTTTAAAATCATAAAGAAAAAAACCCATACAGAGGACACAACATTATTTCAACTAGAGAAGAGAAAGACTAAAAGGGTCTATACAAAACTGCATGAATGCACTTAAAAAAAAAAAAAAAAGCTGTTTGGAAAACAAGATATAACAATTCCAGAAGGCATAACATTATAACATACCACAAACTCAGTGGCTTCAAAGCACGCATTTATAGTGAGAAGAATAACCAGTTCTAACAGTGAGCCCTGAAAAAAGTAACAACAAAAATCTCCAAGACCTTTGTAAGATGTGTAAGCTCTCAAGTTTGAGCAACAACCAACCTTTAATACCTGGAGTTAAAGAGAGTACTCTTTGAATGCAGGCTGTCCCATGACTACCTTTCCTCCTCTAAAACAGAGGTACTACCACTGCTCGAAATCAGGGAACACTGTCGTCCCAAATACCACACTCCAATGGCCTCCTGCATGTGGCAATTCTAGTATTTCTATAGGAAAGAGAAGCTTATTTGGCAGAAACAAGGCCACTGCAGAAGTGGTACTCCAGCTGTAACAGCCCACAGTCATTTAAACACTACTAATGAAAACAAATTACTCACTAGTAAATGGACTCTTGAAATCTGAACTACTGACAGTTGGTAATAAATTATATGCCTTGTAGTACGCTAACTGCACTATACAGTCAGTTTTAATCTCTGGTACCTTTATTCACGGAAATTACGCAGCCAGTTTCACCCCTTCTCTTTTGGACCACCTGCCCAAACTGTGTAAGCTGCAAGAAAAGTGATGGGAAAACTGCAGATCAAGACTCAAGTCAATGGATACAAAGTAAGCCCACAGTCTCCTGCCAAAGAAGGATTAATCGTGGGACCTTAAATGTGTGGTGACTGTCAGTATCTCTCAATGACACAAACTGGAAAAACAGTAACCAGAAGAAAGATTTATCAAGGCCTCAAGATGAAGACACTAGCAGATTTGCACTGCAAAGTATCATTTGACACAGGCAATGTGCTCTTTTGCATTAGCTGCAAGTCGATAGCTGGGATCAGAGCACTGGGAAGTAATCCTGACTGCTGAAACTGTCAAGAGAGGGCAAGTTTAATAAAGATCTTGCAAGGATGGATGATTACAGAAT